TTCATCACAAACTGTAATAATCCAGTAGCATTCAAAGCAAAAGATGTTCATTTCTGACTGTGTGTTTGTGCTCATGCTGGCTGACAGGTTCATAAGAGTGATGTTACAGTGGTTGTGTTTTTCATCATGCCTGCCAAAACCAACAACTTCAACGTGGAGTCTCTTAAAGGACAGGCTGTACGCAAGCAGCTGTGGTGCGTAAATGCTTGAGTGTATAACCTTTGACATTACTAGTCTCAGGGAATTAATGACATTTTATGTATGTACAATAGTAACAAGAATAATATAAGAAGAAAATATTAATTTTAAATATAATAATTATTATAAATAAATAAATAGTTGTATGTTTTTGAGGAACAAAATCATTATAATTAATTGTGTATTTTTTTATTAATATTTTGTTCCTCAAAAACATGTTTATTATGATTAGTTAAAGATGTAATATATAATAAATTAATGCAATCTTCTTAACATAAAAAAAATAATTGTGTATTATTATTATGTACCTCAAAAACGTTAATAATAAATATAAATATTATTATTATAAATAATAATAATAATAATAAATATAATATTTATAACTTCATAATAAAGAAATAAATATACTTTATAATTACATTTATTATGATTTCTTAATGTTGTAATAACCGATTAATAAATTATTCTTAAAATTTGAGACTTTAGTCTTTGCAAATTTACAGATCTTCTTTATGCACCAAGAGCTTGTAACACTCCAAAGAGAAAGGAAAAAATGAAATCGCATCATATGACCCCTTTAATTACTTCCACTTTTTCCCCCCTTATTTTTACTTTTGTGAGTGTTCATTTTGGATCTTGCTAGTCTCTATTTCCTGTAGCTTGTAGCACTAGTAGAGCCCTGATACTGAAATAGATTTCCCTAGCTATACTAATATTATTTCTAGGCAATGAAATGAAGCCTTGATCCTGAAATGCCTTTTATTTTCAGATGGCTTTAGTGTGTAAGACTTCTCAAATATATCTTTCGTCTGTCTCTCAGGGACACCGCTCAGTCGGTGAAGGAGAAGTTTGGCAAAAGGCTTTATGAGAGCTTGTTAAGGTTGGTGATTTCCTCATACAGAGCTGTCATAACAGGGCTCAAATAGATGTGACAGTAAATGTTGTCAGTACACGCTGATGAACAGGAAGTATGGACATCTGACGTCATAAACTGGAGTGGCTGTGTAACCTTCAAGTGTTGATATTTCACAGCGTTATCCAGGTGTTGATGAGAGTACACTACACTTCCCCAGGGAGTTGTCAGATTATTCATAATGACATTGTGTGATGTCAATGGGTCATTTCCCACGAGATGAGGCTTGTGCCAAATGAATTTATTTTCAGATAGGATCTCCTCTAATGAAGCTCTACTGCATTCACAGGGGTGAGATCCCAGACATGAGCAAAATCCTGGACAGAGATGATTTCACAATCATGAAGAGGGCCATTTATGCAACACAGGTCAGACAAAATGTTGCACATTTATTATGTCACAAGAGGCCACATTTAAAAATGATGCAAATGAATCGATATCCTTTAGAGCACTTATTGTGTTTTCAAGGCATCACTGTATTGATATTTCGAAAACATTCTGTTTAGGGGTTAAGAAAAAGTTTAGAGTATTACACTTCTGCGAATAATTCTGTGTCCAGACTGCAGTTTTGTATTAAACAAGCTGTGATGTTTATTTTAATTATGGTACAATACTCACTATACGTATATATAGTACGTGTATAGTTAATATATACACTAGTCAACATTTGAAGTGGATCAAAACCTTTCACCAAAGTTGTCCTAGAAACTAGAACCTAGAACGTTCTTGTCTGAGGACAATTTTGATGAACTTTTTTGATCCACTTCAAATGTTAACTACTGTATTTTATCTTTTTTTTAATCAAATTTAAATTAAGAAACTCTACCACTGATGTTATTAATTGATCATTTAAAATGTAAGAAATCTGAAATTAATGTAATGAATTACATGAATATATTTTTATAACCCCTTCAGGATGATACTGTACATTATGCCTTTTGTTAAATGACAGTCTAGTTAATATTTCTTTTTCTTTTTTGACAACATCACCTAATCGTTGTTTTAGGGCAAACTAGGATATGAGTCTAAAGATAGACATCTCAGAACTAATAAGCGTTCTCATGGGGTTTTCATTCATCCTCCTCTGCATGTTTTTTTTTTTTATGAATGGACTCTAATCAAAGGTCAGGCCGGGGTTATTGTGAATATCGACCTCTGTAAATCTGAGATGGAATCCCCTGCATCACTCTGCTGGATTACTTGTGTGTTACTGAGCTTAGTGGCATATTTAACTGTGTTTCCTGACTGTCTGCAGTCAATCGATTGAATGTGTTACTGAGATTTATTCGACAGCTTTTTAATGACAGTGTTATGAGCAGCCAGTCAATATACAGCCACTCCGTTTAGATTTATCTGGGTATCAGTATTTCGGAAAGAGATATTGATCTGTTAGTGGTGTTTGTTTATAAGAAGGAATGAGGGTAAGAAATGTGTCTGCTATTTCTGTAGGGTTAAATCCATTGAATCTTTTCATAAGAGTGACCTAGACTCTGAAACTTAATAGCAAAAGTAATGTATATAAACCATTAAAATGGTGCAAGCAGAAAACAGAATCAGAGCAGACGGCCAATTTTCATAGTAAGATAATGATTTTTTTTTTATTATTATTGACCTTAAATGGAGTGGACATACACGACTAAATTTTGATCATCCTGATTTTTATTTAAACCATGCTTATAGATGACTGTTTTTATTGATTTGCTAATTTTCCATACTCTTCCATTGTCAAATACACTAACATGCAATTGCATCCATGCATTTGCTCTACACAGAGACACACTTTTCCTCCAGTAACGACTCACAACATGCTGGACGACTCCACAGACCCGATCCTGAGCAACATCCGCCGAATCGGCCTCTTCAATGGACGCAATGACAGAGTGAAGGTGCACAGTTATCTATGTGGGATGCCAGTAGACTTTAATAAAAAATCAGTTAAAATACAGGGCTCGATATTAAGATTTTTACACTGGCCCAGTTGGAACTGAAGTTTCTCAATAATGATGCATTTTATTTGTGGAAAATCCTTTTTTAAATTTCCTTGATCTTTTTACAATATAAGAGACAGTGTGCCAAAAGGACAAGTCGTGGAATGTGCCACTCTATGATGTAATAGTGTGGATAAGCACCGCCTCCACAGAAGTTCAATACCTGCTTCCACATCACTGCCTGTTTAGCCCCGCCCACTGGTTTGCACATGCAGTGTAAATAACAAGAGAGGCGAACGCAGATCTACACAGAAACCAATCGATAAAGATGCTCCGAAGATAAGAAGACGCTGTTCATGGCCAAGTTGGGAAAAAACAAGTCTTTGCATTGCCTTCTTTCTGATCCCTTCATTTAATGAAGTTCCAGACCACATCAGTAAGAACTTGGTCCTTTGTTCACTTTATTTTACCACGGGTTCGTTTACAAATAAAGCACAATTCGACGCTCAATTTTCAAAAAGATTGAAACTAAAAGACGATGCTGTGCCGACTACACTGTATTAGATCTGACAGTAATGTTGCACCACACAAGCTTGAGTAACTGTTTTTATTATGTGGTCACTATTTCTTTCTGTTATTACAGATCAAATGAGTATTTATGCGTTTTTACCTAAATGACAGCAGCGTCCATCTGTGTAGGATGTAGGGTGTCAAACATACACAACTGTTAGCCAATCAGTGGGCGTTTACTTCCGAGTATTCAAACAGAGCGTTCTGATGAGGACAGAAAATAGCTTATTACTTCTAAATTATAACGTTTTTTGATGTAAAAATCTTGATCACATTATAAGGGGACCTCAGAGAACAGTAAAAAAAAGGCAGTTCACGACGCCTTTAATAATTTGACAATTGTATTTATTTTAATTATTTCTCATAATAAATTATGAATGCCCTCAATGTGTTAATTGCTTCTATGTCAGATTGTGTTCCATCCGGAGTTCCTGTCCTCCACCAGCCCCTTGCTGCCCATGGACTATGAGGAGTTTGTGCGCGGCTGCCATCTGGGAGTGTTTCCATCCTACTATGAACCATGGGGCTACACTCCAGGTTTCACACAGAACGCACACCACAATATGACTAAATTTCAAAGTTTTTTTTTTTTTTTTTGATCATCATCTGTAATCGGATGTGTTCAGGTGAGTGTACTGTCATGGGCATCCCCAGCGTGACTACCAACCTGTCTGGGTTTGGGTGTTTCATGGAGGAACATGTATCTGACCCCTCTGAATATGGTGAGTGAATAAGATACTGCTTTCCAAAACTGTCTGCACAGCTTAATCATTTATTTGTATTATCGATTTATTTAAATTAGACTTTGATATGACACACTGAATCAATTACTATACCTGGCACAGCTAATTATGCTGTTGGATCTGCATATGTGTTGTAGGAATCTACATTGTGGACCGGCGGTTCCGTTCTGCGGATGAGTCGTGTAACCAGCTGACTCAGTTCTTGTTTTCATTCTGCCAGCAGTCACGTAGACAGCGAATAATCCAACGCAACCGCACGGAGAGACTCTCTGACCTGCTGGACTGGAGATACCTCGGACGGGTGAGTGTCATCTCAGCTTTTCTCTGAGCATTCAGGTGTGATTCACTTTTGATACGGTGTTGAAATCCAAAGTATTGTCATGAAACTCTAGATAGCGCAGTCTGATAGGTCTAACTCAATCTGACATGACATCGTCACATGGCGCAACTAATTGGTTCTTTTTGTATCAGCAGCCAATGAGCTTGCTGCTCAACATTCAAATACTTGGCTAGTGCTTGCTGTAGCAGTTGCAGTGTGCTTCAGAAACCTTCCACCTTCCCCAGCTCCACCTGTATAGATCTGCTACGGGGTGATTAATGTTTACCATATATGGGGGTTATTTCATATATGTTATATATGCAGCAGCAGTGTTTCCTACATGCTCACAGCAGAATGTTGTGGATGTGTTGGCAGAAGCAAGCCTTGCTACTTGCTCTGCCGCAGCAGTGTAGCAGATCTATTCCACTAAGACCAAACACATTGTCATGTACATTACCATGCAAAACCCTCCGAGATTTGTCACAATAGAGTTGTGTTTCTCCCTGCTTAGTTCTACATGCATGCCCGACATTTGGCCCTCAGCAGATCCTTCCCTGGTAAATTCAAAATGGACCATCTTAACCTCGCACCGGTAAGCCTCTCACGCTCTCTCAGATGCACATTAATGCACTTTCATTTTCCTCTATCACTGACAATGAGAACATGCTAGACTGCTGCACTCCATGAAAGCTATGTGGCCCAAAAGGGCAAGGACATTTTATATTAGATACATTACCGTAACCGTACAAAGCTTTGGGGTCAGTATGATATG